GTTAGCTTCTCTGAAAAAATGTTGGTACTGAAGATCTCCTACGAACAAAACTCTCCTCCTCAAGCAGTAAGAGATGACACCTTTCAAATTCCAAGGAACTTCGGCCTTATTGTTGAGGCATGAGATGACTAATACTGAATCACCCTCGATTATAATAGGATACTCCCTGTAGTTTGTCGCTTGAATATGGGCTTCCCATGCAGCCCATGCTTTCACTTGGTTGATGGTACAAGTGCCAAGTTTATATGCTTTAACCGCTAGCACCCAATCAAGATGATCACGAACCATATTAGCCACAAAACATTTTTCATCACTGTTACAAGAGGCATCAAAATCTATCTTAATAGTGCCAAATTTTGGAGCACTCCAAATAATTGGTTTCCACACTTTGTCAATTTGGGCATTGTCTTTATCTTTGCTCCCATTAAGAAACTCCAAAAACATATCAAGAGCCCATTCCAAAACAATTGGAATGGGAGTTGAAACATTATTGAAAGTTTTCGAGTTCTTTTGATAACTTTCACCCATAGGTTGTCCTCCTCATTTAAGATTCTCCACCCTAACTAGTTGAGGTAGAGGTGACCAGTCGGTTCAAAGCACGCCTCGGGTAAATTTTTATTAATACCACTTGACTGGTCACCTCTACTCTCATATTGGTTGGTTGATTGGCCATAAGTTTTTCCATTATTTAACCCTTGAATCTTAAAATGAGCAATTAAGTAATTTTACTCAAGGTTCAGAGTTTCAACACATATCATACTGTATTGGCGGATACATATCATATTAGAGGCTTCCTATGTATCATATTAGGGGCTTCCTGATACATTCCTACAATGGGTGTTTTAGGTCAAACCATGGTTCAGGGGGTAGACAGACCTTAAACTGACCCTTTTGAACTAGACTGAAAAAAAAAACTACAAAAATGGAGAAGCAAGCCTCGATACAACCTGATATGCCCCTATCGACGTATCGACCTATATCAATATTTTGAACATTGATTTTACTTTCATAATCAAACCTCGTTAAGTCAAGGGCAAATTGTTGAAATTGAGAAGTTTGGGTTGTCTGGGGGCAAATATGGGATTGTTTTTGTCACAAGAAAAAAAAAAGTTCAAGGAGCTAAGGGTTACCCTTTCTAAGTACAGGGCAACTAACTATGATTTACCCAAAACCAACCAAGCCAAGTTCACCTGAACCTGAGCTCGTGATGCTGCCACATAGGCTGTTTTATGGGAAAACAACACTAATTTTGTTGGTACCAGTGCTGTAGAACCGTTTTCAACATTGGTCATATTATCTAACATCCAAGATGATGCCACATCATTGCACCACTGGCAGCAATGAGTTATTTTCTTAGAAAACATCAAATTTGACGTTGCTTCATACAACACTTTCCTGATTTCCAAGGCATGGTCTGAAACAACGTTTTTTATGAAAAAATGGTACCAAATAAGAGGTCATTTTCTAAAGGAAAAATTTTGGCTGCCCACTAATAGGGCTGTTAATGGTCAGGTTGGGTCGGTTTACTGGCGTTTTTCCAACCGACCCGACCTGGTCGGTTTGAATTGGTTTGGGTCGGTTTTGTGAATGATTCTCTCGATGTGAACGGTAAAGGATTCAAGTCTAAGAAAGCAAAGGTTGGATGCCTGGAAATTAAAAATGATTTGATAGAATAAAACTGATATTTTATATATAATATGTATATTTTTGAAATAAAGCTGAAATATATATATATAATATCTAGGTCGGTTCGGGTCGGTTTGGTTTTGATTTTCACACATGAAAACCGAAACCGAATCGAACCATCGATTTCTGTTTTTTGTAACCCAAAACCGATCGATAATGAAGAAAAATCGGCCAATTCAGATTAGATCGAACCGGGTTGGTCGATTTGGTCGATTTGAGTCTTGCCACTAATGATAGGAATTCCTATTGCCTGTCAACCTCCTTGTGACATCTGTCCTCTTTCTTAAAACATTTAAAAGTTAAATTACATTTAGCATTGATCGTGGTCTCGGTAACGTCAACATGGAATCCGTTAACCATTAAGTCCTCCCACTCAATCTAATATCCTATATCTAAAAATATTTACTTTTTATTCCATTCCTAATAATGAAAAAAAAAGGAAAAAACCTACAAACCTAACCAAATCAGAAAACTTTACTGTCCTTTCTTCTATCCTTTCTCTCTCTCATCTTACATCCTTGTTCGGGCCCATACACCTCATGGAGAAATACAAAAATAAATCAGTAAAAGAATTCTATGGGTGATCAGTGAGTTCTTTCTCCCGTTTTCTATTCATTCATATTAGAGTTTTTTGGTATTTGCATATACAAGGATGACAATTTTTTTCATTCACGACAGAGACCCGATTTCTCCCACCCCATGGGACCAAGGATGGAACTGCTTTGGTGGAACAAAGACGGAGACGTGAATTAATAATGATCCTAATCAGAGTTGGGGTTGGGGATGGAAATTGAGGTCTCCACCCAATCTGATCCAATTATATATAATAAATATTATTTATATTATTAGTATATATCAAAATATATTTAAAACATTATTTTTATTTTAAAAAAAATTATTTAATTTAAATAAATTATTTTTAAAAAATATATTATTAACTAAAAAAATTTTAGGAATTCACGTCACAACTTTTGTCCCCCACAAGGATCGGGGACGGGAACGGAAATGGGGAATACCAAACCCACCCCGAACCCGCCCCATTACCATTCCTATTTGCAATTAGTATTCATGTAATCAGAATATTACAATACTAATTCTGTTTATGACTTTATGTTATAGTTCCGTACTCCCCCTCTCGGTTTTCTCTGTCATGGATTATCACTAAATGGTAGAACTACTTTTCTGATTTTCTCTGTCATGAGTCTCACCACTCTGTCAGTAATTACACGTGGCTTTTGTTATTACTTATTAATTAATTAATTAAACATAAACAACTGATGTTGATTGTGGATGAGTTATAGAATTAGCAATTTATGATTAATTTTAATGATATAAAGTGGTTTTGGGCCTCATGATCTTTTTTTTTTTTTTGTTATGCTTGAATTGTTAGCACATAACGTAGGGAAAAAAATGGTTAATTCTGTTGACAAAGTGCTAGTGGTTAATTGGATTTGGGATTTATTCTACCCCGTTTTTATTTATTCATTTAATTTTTTTTTTTAAATCAAAGGGCGTCAAACTTTAGGACTGAATTTGAATATCATCAAGCTTTTAGGTTTTGATTTTACTAAAAATTAAAACCTAGTAATTTTGGGTTTTAATGAGCTTTATAATTTTTTCCTTTCTTTTATTATTAAGAATGAAACAAAAAGTAAATATTTTTAGATTTGTGATATTAAGTGGAAGGAAGTTAAAGGTTAACCGAATTCACGTTAACGTTGTGAAGACCACGCTCATGGTTAAATACTATGTATCTGGGAGGCTTCAACTTTTAGAGATTTTTAGACTACACTCCCCTTTAGAATTTTGATTTGAAATGTAGATTTACAACAATTCAAATTTATAAACAGCTTCACATTTAATATCCGTACCCACTCGTGAATTGGCATCAATTTTGAGCTGACATCTATTACAGTTGAACTAGGATTTCTGAGGTGGACTGAACGATAAAAAGCCCTAACTTTTAAGAAAGATGACAGGAGTTATAAGGAGGTTGATAGATGGGAATTCCTATCACCCGTGGGCAACCAAAGTTTTTTCACTGCTTTTTCTGATGTGATGACTATATGGTGTTGTTTTCTCAGAAAACGACATCAATGCCAAGCATCCACTTAGTATGTGTTTGGTATAGCTTTCATTTATTCACTAAATGTTTGTATTTAATTCGTTTGCAAAACTAAGAAAAGAAATAATGAAATTGTTTATTGACAATTAGGCACTACTAGGTGCCATTAGCAAAACAGTGAATAAATTTATATTCATTGCAGGAAGCGTTAAAATGAAACTTCACCAAATAATAGGCATGCATATAAATCAAGGCCTGTTTTAGCAAGTTTTTATGCATACAGATCAACATGATGGGCTAATGCTGAAATGACGTCTATGTGGTAACGTTTATTGAATAAACACCCACGGTTCCACACACCCTCTTAGTATATATTTGATATCGATGCTGCAGATACAACACCGTTTTGTGAAAACGGTGCTGCTGATGTGTGGGTTGGAAGCACCGTTTTCTTAGAAAGCGGTTTCTTTTTTATGTTTGGAAAGTTGTTGCCAGGTAGGACATTTCTTGAAGCAACAACAACGTTTTTTGTTTGGTACCAATGCTCTAGAAAACATTTTCAACACTAATACCTATTATCCAATGCCATGTCATGTCGCTATCACTGCCACCTCATGTCCCTATTGGCAGCAACAAGCTACAGCTCCAGGAAATATCAAATTTGGCGTTGCTCCAAGCCATGCCTTCCTGGTTTCTAAGGCATGGCTTGGAGTACCGTTTTTTTATAGAAAAACAGTTCCAAACAAACATGCGTTTCCTAGAGCACTATTTTTTTCAATGTGGCGTTGATGTGTCACCGTTTTCTAGGGCGACGACATCGATGCCAAATAGACACTTAAGTATATGTTTGGCATCGCAGATAAGCATCGTTTTTTGCTACTGATGTGTGGATTGGAAGAACTGTTTTCTTAGAAAGCGACGTCTTTTTTTTTTTTGAAATCGTTGTTGAGAGAGGTAAAACTTTTCCTCGAACAAGAACAATTATTCCTATTTGATACCAATACTCATATCACTGCCACCTCACATCATTATCGACAACAACGAACTGCTCCAAACCATGTCTTCCCGATTTCTAAGAGGTGGCTTTAGAGAACTGTTTTTTAAACAAACCTCAATTCAAGCTGGGATGATGTCTTCAGTGTTCAGTTCAGGTAGAAGCCATTCGCTTGCTTGATCATCATTCATCAATGGTCAGAGGGTGCATTTCCCGCTTGCTTCCCTCTTCTCGTTGATCCGCCCGCTTTATACCATGATAACCATAACGACCAGGAATCTGTATGAGCTCACCAGAGCTTGCAAAACAGTTGCACAGCTCAAACAAGTTCTGGCCCAAATTATCCAAGACGGCATCGCCAACCACCCACTGTCTCTTTCTTCAATCCTCTCCTTCTCCGCAACCTCATCCCAACCCGACTTATGTTTCGCCTCTTTAATCTTCGCTTGCATAGAGAAACCTAATTCTTTCATTTACAACTCCATGATAAGAGGATTCACCAATGCCGGAGACCATGCTCGTGCTCTCCACTTTTACCTACAAATGAACCGCGTGGAACACCTGCCTGATAAATTCACTTTTCCGTTCGTTCTCAAAGCCTGCGCTGTTTTAGAGGCTGTTGAGCTTGGCAGATCCGTTCATGGGAAGGTTCTCCGTATGGGTTTTTCCTTGGACCTTTTTATTCGGAGTAGCTTGGTTAGGATGTATTCTGATTTCGACGAGATTGAAGCAGCTCGTGTGTTGTTCGATGAAATTGTTGAGCGGGATTTGGTCATGTGGAATTCCATGATTGGTGGGTACATGAAATGTGGGCTATTAGAGCGGGCCTTTGAATTGTTCGAGAGTATGCCCTGCAAGAATGTCGCTACCTATAATGCGATGATGGGAGGGTACGCCAAGTTCGGCTGCATTGAAAAGATTTCCAAGTTGTTCAATGAGATGCCAAACAAGGATCTCATCTCATGGAACACTGTAATTGGGGCTCATGCAAGATTTGGATCTGTAGATACTACACTAAAGCTTTTCAGCGATACGCCTGAACGAAACTTGACTACGTGGAGCACAATCATATCTGGGTTTGCACAGGGTGGTCGATTCGGGGATGCGCTTGAGGTTTTTAGACACATGCTGGACGATGGAGTGAAACCGAACCAAGCAGTATTGGTTAGCGTCCTCACCTGTTGTGCTCACCTTGGAGCTCTTGAACAAGGCAGGTGGATTCATGGTTATATCCAGAAAAATGGGATTGAAGTGGATGATATACTGGGTGCATCTCTCATTGATATGTACTCAAAATGTGGTTTTCTTCAAGGTTCCATGTCTGTGTTCGACAAAATGGAGAAGAAAGGTGTTTGCTCTTGGACCTCCATGATCTATGGGTATGCCATACATGGACACCCCTTTCAATCACTGGACTTATTTGGTGAAATGAAGAGCCTGGGATTCCGACCAAATGCTATTACCTTTGTGGCTACCTTAGCTGCTTGCTCTCATGCTGGGTTGGTTGATAGGGGACGAGATGTTTTCAGTGAGATGCATCGAGTTCATGGCATTATACCCACGATCGAGCACTATACTTGCATGGTCGATCTTCTCAGTCGCGCAGGTCTGTTAGATGAAGCTCAGGACCTTATCAAGTCCATGCCAATGAAGCCTGATATATTTGTCTGGGGGGCTTTTACTGGTGGGATAAGGATTCATGGAGGAGGGTCTGGGTTAGTAAGTCAAGATGTTAGTGAGGGTCTTGCAAGGTTGGTACCTCGGGATAGTGGAGCTTATGTTCTCATGTCAAATATGTATGCTCTGAACAACCAGTGGGATGATGTTACAAGAATTAGAAGGAAAATGGAGGAAGTGGGAGTGAAGAAGAACCCTGGATGTAGCACAATTGAGGTGGATCAAGTGGTCCATGAATTTTTAGCTGGTGGAAGATTACATCCTCAATCAGAGAAAATATATGGCATCTTAGATCAAATATACAGAGAAATTAAGATTCAAGCCTCCATAGACTAAATAAATTTCTCAAATACTACAGAGTTCCTGACAAAAAGGAAACAAGGAAAAATGCTCATGTGTTTCTAATTTGGAAAGTCTGTCAAAATTCTTTTGGCCATCCCTGAAGAATATCATACGACAGAAAATTCTCGTGCCATGGAAGACTAGAGCAAGAGGGGAACAGATGATTGAAACTGTTTGATTTCTTGCATATTTGAATTCGTTTGGATGGCCTGGAAAATTTTGACTCAAGCGACACAAGAACCACCAACATGCATCAATTTCAGAGGAGATTTCCAAGTAGGGTCCCACCAACAATGGATCTCATTACCAAAAATGAAGTCAGTATCACCTAAAGGAACCCATTTCTGTCAAGCACTTGCTGATTTTGTTCTCAATCAAGCCATTAAACCTTCACACAAGACCTTCTTCCCATTAAACCCTCCCAATCCTTTACCTACCTTTAAGAAATCCACACCTGTATCATAAAAACTGGTTACCATATCAAGAATCTCAATTGCTAACTACATCAGTAGCATCTTGTTCCTTATTCAATGATCCCCATTATGCATATCTTATCTTCCAGGAAGTTCCATACCCAATGTCTTCTACTGACATCAGATATTAGTTTGTTCTCTTGAAATGGATTGACAGTTAAATCCCTTTTCTTATTCAAAGCAATGTTTGAATTCAGATGCAAGCCTAACAATTTCACACTTCTGAGTGCGTGTGCAGCTATAAACGCCAAGAAGGAAAACAGTTTTATTCTCTTCTCTTTCAACATAGACGACACTAGAATATTTACATTGACACAGCTCTATATTTCTCTGTTGTAACAAGCATGCAGTGTTATTGTTCCTGCCAAATTTTATGAAAAGTTGCATATTTTCAAAGTTTGTCTGCTCAGAATTCTCTTGTTTCTAGATATACAAATTGTGACCAACTGATGGTGGCTCAGTTTGTAAGTTCTCTGGGTGTTTGTAGCAGTGACTTGAGATCAAATCCTGTAGCCACCAGGGCTCGGGGGTTATGGGTATGGGGGACAGGCTACCCCCCTTTGTGTAACCCCAAGAAGAAAAAAAAAAAGGATGTACAAATTGTGGCCTGATGGAGGACGCTGAAACATTATTTTTATCACATAACTTTCTATGATGATGGGTTAAGGAAGAACATGGTGATGTCGAGATAGCTTGTAGATCAGTTGAGGAAATTTTTGAAAGAATTGTATTAGAATTCCATGACTTTGGTTTCTTCATTGAATAGGCTTGATTGGTTTGCTCTATCTACATTCTCTGAGATGTGGATTTTGGGTGTACCTAGATGAATTAGCAACAGCTGCTGTGCCTTCTGTAAGGTAAGCAAGGCAGTTCATGGATTTCAACTTTCAAACCACTGATAGAACACATCCTCAAACTAGTCAAAATCTTGAGTATCGGATTGCTTAAATAGAGAGGTCCAAGGTTATGGAGATGACCACCATTAAATTAGCCCCGAGGCTTTTAATTTGGAGAAGGAAGGTGGACTAAGGACATAGGGTATTTATCTGCAGGGGTAAGGCTGTGTACATCTGTCCTTCCCCAGACCCTGCATTGGTAGGAGCCTTCTTTACTGGGATGCCCTTTTATTTTATTATTTATTTATCTATTTTTCTTTTTTGAGGTTCAGAAGTCATTTTCTATTGGATTTTTAATATACTAATATGTACTCTTTGTGTGTTAAAAATGGTGATGAATGTAATTCAAATTAGTTAAGCGTTAAGTACCATCCTGGATTCATGCGCAGAATTGACTCATCAGTGGAGATAAAGTAGTTGTTTGTGACTGAAGGAAAGCCAAATAAACAAGAGATCTGGTGTCCAGGAATGTTAAACTAGCACATGATTGATTTGTCTACTTCATGCATGTGATGCACATACTATTGCTTTGGGACTGTTACTGTAAACAGCCTATAAGAGTACAGAATTCACATCCACACACGCCATGCTTAATAAGAAAATGCTGTACACTTAATTTGGTAGATCTGTTTCATTCAACAACTGACTGTCACTAGCGATTAAGAAAAGGTCTGTGAATTTCTCACCCAACCAAAGCTTATGGATGCAATTCACATAGTTTGGTCAAGCTGAAAGTCTTTTTTTTTTTTTTTCTGCAGCTGGGCAATCGGTTAGGTTGTGGATGGAGACACCTTTTCAGATCTGATTCAATTGTGCCAACTTTACCAACCTGGCAATCTGGTTGGAGTTCTAAAAGCTTTACTTAAGGTATAATTCTTTATTAGCTTCTATTTAATGTTAAGTTCCAATACTGTATTATATGGAATATACTTCTCTAGGGATAAATTAAGCTTCATACAAACTCTCGTGACATAAGCCAGGAACCCTTCATATTTCAACAAACAATTCTTTAATCACTTGTGGTATACCTGTGTGCGATCTTCCTTATTCGTTGAATACCCAAATACCCAATGACATCTTGCTTGACCTACATGTATAAAAGCTATATAAAATATACTAAACCACATTAAGCAACAGTTTTAGAATGTATTGCCCAATGTTTTCAACCCATTGTTGATCTGATTGGTTGGATAGATGAGCTGGTCATAATTCTGGTTCTGGTCAACTTGTAACCCATCAGTTTACAGAAAACCATTGATTTGGCCAAAAACCCATTGATACAAATGGTTGAACCATTGACCCATTTGACCCATCCACCCGGAAGGAAAAAGGGGTTCAGCCTCTTGGGTCAGGACAGTAGACTTCTAGTGATAAAAAAAACTTAAAATTAAATTGTTAAAAATATGTTATTTTTAAATTAGGTCAATTGGAAATTCTGTTTTTAACCTTTTCATGCGTGTACGTTTGTCAGTGCGTGATTGTTAATTGGTCCCTTGTACTCTCTTATTTTTGACATTGAGTATGGGCAGGGATGGAGTAGACCCCGGTTCTACGGCCCTGCTGTTTCCATTATAATTGTTCTGGGAAGCAAAATAAGACGTTGCAGGTCGATTTCCAGGACCACATACTTCGTACAAAAGCCCTCCCCATCGGAAATCTGAACTTGGAATTCATAAGTGCCCGTTTGGGAGGGCTTTTAACTTTTATGCAGCTGCTTCTGGCTGTGGCTTTGTAAGGTGGGCCTGAAAGCACGGGAACACCTAGAAGCTATGTTTGGTACCTGGCAAGCCCAAATATGCTTTAAATCATCCGATAAATCGATATTTCAAGGACCTATTTCCTTTTTGCAGTTAAAACTAGGTTCATCGAAAAGTTGGTTTATCAACCAAATTAAGGCTGCATTTGGTATTCCTTATTTCAAGGACCTATTTCCTTTTTGCAGTTAAAAACTCGGTGTTCACATAGGCATTTTAACTGCAAAAAAGGAGGTAAGTTCTTAAAATAAGGAATGCCAAATGCAGCCTTAAAACATACTCGGACTTTCAGGGATTTTCACCAAACAGGGCTTCTAAGATTTCTACGTGGGTCCCACCTTACAAAAACAAGAAGCCATGAAAGCCCTCCCAACTCCCAAGTATTTTAGGGGGAGAGAGAGAGATATTATATGATCAAATGGCTGGATCTTAGTTTGGAATTTGGATCCGCATCAAAATTACACTACAAAAGCAAAATATCAAAGGCTAAAATGGGCATCCCAAAATAAGCATGGTTCTAATCTGCTTAACACACAAGAGGTGGCAAGTCAATGGACCCCAGACCGCACTACACGTCTAGTGGCTCATATCCAATTCAATACCTTTCAAAGTGGCACTTTCGGTTCAAGGGTCAATTTGTTTTGACGAGAATATGGTCTAGCTAGGTCACTGTAACCCCAACTTGGTTTTCAAAACTCTCTAGCCAGATTTACTTTGTCTGCCCCAAGGATACCACATAATGAGATCATGGGCACCATGTAATAGGCCAACCATCTAATCCTAGTTTTACTGAAACCTTTTTATTGAATTCTTTTACATATAACATCACCATCATCACTATCATTTAAGCCTTGTCCTAACTATATGAGATCATGATCATGGGTTTAGTGTCATATCCATTGTTCAGTAATATATTCTTACTAGTTAGATACAATTCTCTATAGCTAAATATAAATGGAGTGATTAGGGCATATCCCATATGAGCTATGTCTATTCCCTTTTCCCTAGTGAAAAATACAAAAAGCCACTGTTTGTTATCATGGTAGTAAAAAAACATAGGGATGTTTTGTCTTTTAATTAGGGGTGTACCCCTGATTCAGTTTGTTTCAAGTGAAAATTTCATTTGCATTAGAGTAAATGCCTAAGAGTGCAAAAGAGTAGAATGTAAGTTCAGGTTTATTTTTTGCTTCAGATTTAACTGTCTTATTTGTTTGTTAGGAGTAAAATAGGAAGAAAAATAAAGAGAACGGGGGTACGAAGAGCCGAAGAGGGTTATTGTTTGAGTGAGGTAGGATGCAAAATTATGTGGTCCTTGCTTTACATGAGAGAAAACCGAGTAGTAGGAATGTGGTGCAAATTTTGCATCAGTTTTTTAAATGTATAATCTGTATTGCCGATAAGTGCAAATAAAACAAAAAGTACAAATTTTACATCAGATAGAAGTACAAATCATAATAACAAAGGAACAGGGGAAAAACTGAACCAGGGGCAAATTTTGTATGATATGCCCAAATCACTCCCAATAAATAACAAAAGTATGCACTCATATATTAATTTTTATTTGTATATAAACAAATGTCTTTTGTCTTTTCACTTGGCTGTGCCCCGTTTAACAATAATGGGATATGCCCATATCCATGGTACAATTTCAGTGACAGCCTAAAGGGGGGTCCACCTATTTGACACATCAGAAACTATCTTTTGTTCATATTGTAAGTTTAGCACTTGTCACGTGGCCAAAAGACCTGAAGTTAAATCTCTTATATTTTATTGCATCTGTAATTTTGTATTAATAGATGGATGGATGGATGGGCAAACATGGATCTCTGATATTTGATTGATTCAAAACATGGCGAACATGAGAATCCTCT